TTCTTGCCAGCCCCCTTTTGGAACCAACCACTCCCTGCTGACTTGTGCCGAGCTACCGTCCACATTACGCCTTTGCTAGGTTCTCTAGCCCTCACCGGCATTGGGACAGTACCGCTGCAGCCGCATCCCGACTCTCAACCGTCCTTGCTGGCCGCCTGGATGGCCGCCTCAGCCAGGGTGACAGAGTATGTTGGCTGGACCCCTGAAGAAATTGAGATCGATGGCGACGAAAGCCTCCTTGCGGAAGCCCTACTCGAAGACCGGTTGTGTGTGATCAGCGACGGTTCTTATAAGCTCGGTATGGGCACGGCAGCGGTTCAACTGCTTCCACGTAAGGGTGGCACGGAACGTATTATCGTCCGATGCCAGACTCTAGGTCTAACTGACGACCAGAGCGCGTACCGGAGTGAACTGATTGGCCTACTGGCCGGTATCATGGTTGTTGATTGGCTCCTCGATCAGTGGGCCCCAACACTTCGATCACCACCTCGCATCAGGATTGCGTGAGATGGATTTTCGGCGTTGCTCAACACCTTTGGTGACAATCGAGTCACACCGCAACAAGCCCAGTTTGACCTGGTCTCCTCTATCCGGGAGGCACTTGCCCGCTCTAGGGCCTCGTGGGAACCTTGCCACGTGTACGGTCACCTCGATACGGCGACATCCTTTTTGTGCCTCTCTTGGTGGTATAAACGGAATGTGGAAGTGGATGCGTGGGCGGTTGCCTATCGCCACCAGCTTGAGGCTTCACACCGCTCGATTGCACCTAATGCTCGGTTCTTTACCGAATTGGCTGCCCTTTTTTTTATTCTTGTTAAATCTATCGATCCTTTCAGATACTGCAAAACTCTCTTGAGCTTGACCCAATCGTCTTCATCTGGACATCCTACTCTAGTGCACAAATAGCCGATGGCGGTTTGAATGTCTAGACGGCATCGTCTTGAGACATACAAGAGTGACGCTGTTACGCTGTGAAAATTGTCAGCCCTTTCCTCGCTTAAATCTTTTGCAGCTTCTCTCACATCAAAAAGATAGGTCTTGGCAGGCAAAGTTGCCTCTCTATTGATATCATCCATAAACATATCGATCGCCTTCTGAATGTGTTTCTTCATGCTGATCTCCACCTTCCCGTCTTTGTATGTTATCTTCATTCCCAAAAACTCGTGCTCTTCCCCGAACTTGTTCGTCATCTTGCCGAACTTGGCTTCAATCTTCCTGATGATATCCTTTACGACTTCCAATTTCATATGGCTGATCTTGTTGTCGTCCACATACCAGCAAATTGTGCATTGCTTTCCATCAATGTCACAGTTGGCGACGCACAGATCGTACGGATTAAGCTTGAAGCCCATATCCATGAGAGTTTCCGAGTAAAGTTCATACCATAGCATCGAGCTTTTCACGCAACCATATAATGCTCTGTCCAATTGTACGTACAGCACTTTCTTGCCCTTCACAACGGTGACAAATTCCCTTAGGCTTGGATCAAGATCACAGAAGATATCGACCTCGGGTCCCGAAATGCGCATGATTACCCGATCTTTCATCTTTGCATTCAGGTACGCTCCTCTGACGTCGCTGGTGGCCTTAAACCTTCCCTCGATCGCGTCAACAATGCAGGTGATGAAAAGTGAATCCTGATCCACAGTAGGAGAAGCTGTCTCATCCTTGGTGTAGATTCCCCGCTGTACTCGACCGTTGAAAACGCTTCTAGCTCTTAGCACTGGATTCTCATCGGTATGTCCTCTATTGATCTTTTCCTCAATAAGATTAATCATGTCTCCGGCTCCTCTCTTTTCTTCAAAAGAGATGCCGTCGGGTCCGTCCGCTTTAACTCCGTGGAAAACTTGGAACTCTAGTAGCTGCGCGAACTCGGCAATTAGCTTCAGTTCTGCTTCTTTGTCGTACTTCTTGATGCCCTGCTTGGCAGACATTTGGGCAAACGCAAGTCCCGTGGTATATCGCTCCAACAGGTGAGTCTTTCCGGTGAGCTGGTGTTCCTCCCATGCACAAGTGAAGAAATCCACCTTTTCTTCCTTTTCCAAATCTTCGAACCTCTTGTTCAAAAAAGAAAAAGAAATCCTTTTCCTTTTGGCCTTCTTTTTATTTGCCGATCCTTTCGAGATCAAACTTTTGCTAGTCTTACTTCTTTTCTTGTTGTGAGCGGCTCTTTTTCTCCTCTGAAAGCTGCTCACCTTTCCCTTTATCTTTCCAGAGGTCTTCTTGATCCCTGTTGTTTGCAACGCTGAATACTTTTCAGCGGGTTTTCTTTCTCTCTTTCCTCTTCCGAAGTCTTCTCCTTCGTTCGTGTCAAGATGGCCTCCTCTTCGTTCTTTGTCCTCCGGATTACTGGCTGCCACTACTACTATTTGGTCCCCGTCCTCCGTCTCGTCCGCTGTTGCCACGTCCTCTTTGGTATCTCCCAAATCGTCGGCATCAGGTTCATCTTTCGTTTCATCGTCAACCACATCCATTTCTGCCGAGAAATCGTCATCTTCGCTTTCATCGTTTTCTTCTATCATGTCGTTCTGCGCTCCTTGATTTTCGATCATGTCGTTCTGCGCTCCTTGATTTTCGACCAGTGCTTCGACTTGCGCTCCTTGAGTTTCCGCTCCTTGTTCCTCTTGATTGTCCGGTAGTTCTGTCTCAATTTCATCCGCTCCTGGCAGATCATCCACATCAATAGGTACGAAAGGATTTGGTTCAGCATTTGGTAGATTTATGACGATAGGTTCAGGCAAGATTAGGGGATCTTGTGCCGCCTCAGCTGGTGCAACGATGTCATCCGCGGTGATCGGTTGTCCTGGTCGCCATTCATACCTCAGCATTTTCGACTCTCGATACGGCTGCTGTTGTTCAAGTCCGAGTTCTTCCACTCTCTTGATCACGTCGTCAGTGATAGGCATCGCCGTTGTCACTCGCCCATTGATTTCTCGTCCAGTTTCGAGAGACATGAAGTTGTATCGTCCAGTCAGATTTCGTGGATCCAAAACTATCGCTCCAATAATCCGACTTTTCATCGTATTCGTTACTTTTTCAGTTACGTGCAATTGAACATACTCGCCGCACTCGTACTTCAGATGATTGTGGTCAACGTGTGGGAGATTTTCAATAATGTTTCGAGCCGAAAGCTTATTCGTACTTCGTTCGGCGGATCCAAAAGCGTTGAGAAAAGCAACTCCAGTCTTGATAATGGCTCGCATGGCATGTTGACCGACTGTCGTTTTTCATGGTTTGAACAGACCTTTCAATCTCGGGGACGTGGTCGTCCACTTCACAGCAGACTAGTCGAGCCGGCAAAACATCTTTCTCCACCTTTCCAAATTCGTTGTCTGCGTGAATTTCGGTGATTCGGAAACCCCGTGCATTGTAGAGTTTGAAAATGTCCTTGAGCTCCTCGACAATGGAGCCTTTGGTTCTGCTAATCGGAAAAGACACAGTTCGATAGTCAATTCGTCGAGAGATAGATTGAAAGACAGTGACGCCGTTTACATAATAAAAGTCAACGCAAAGTGTCATGTTCTTGAGATCTTCGTACAGGCTCTTTGGGATCTGGACGATATCGGTCTCCTTCACTCTCGCTGACGACTGGTAACGAGTCCGGCCCTTTACTGGTGGTAGTGGTGGTCCATAGATGGAGTGGGACCGCCGCACATCGCCTACTGTAACGGGACAGTTCCGAATCCAGTTGTCTTGCACGACACGTACAAATTTATCTTCCGCCATATGATTGGTCCTTCGGTTGAGCAGTACCGCCTGGTTGGCCTTACGAAGATCCCTTTTAGCAAAAGTTGCTTTGTTGTCTGCTACGGTTTGTAAAAAGTTGAAAGCTACGTTAAGCTTAGACATATCTACTGAAGTAGCATCATAGACGTACAAACCAGGAGCAATGCATTCGAATTTCATGACATGCCCCTCCGAAATGTGTACGCTAAAAGCATTTTCAGTCTCAGTGTCCAGAGTCACACGAAATTGTTCCGCAACGAGCGCCAGAGACAGTATATTAGCCAAGCATCTCGGGTTATACCACACGGTGAATCCCCCGAAATGACCCTTTTGAGTAGTATCGCGAGTTCCACCGGAAGTGTGTAGTCTCAATATTTCCCCATCAGTGGTTGCCTTTTTGCCAGTCAAATAACGCAGGTTGCTGAAAATGTGATCGGTGGACTCACTATCAAGGAGAATCCAGTTGGGATTAATGTAAGTATCGGGATGTTGATTCATAAGAATACCACATCTGTAGTTGCTTACCTCACTGATAGTAGCTTCCAATTTTGCTCCCGTTCCATCCTTGGCAGCGGGACAATGGCTCTGGTAGTGTCCCTTGTGCTTGCACAGGCGACAGGTGATGGTGGCGTAGAAAGAGTCGTTGGTTCCCCAAAAGAAACAGACTTGTCCCGTTTCACCAGCTGTCTGGGCGAAAGAAACCGAAGGGTTCCTATTCGCTCCTGTTCTTGTTGAGGGCTGTCGTCCGCTATCATTGTTATTTCCGCGACCGCGTCGGGCGACATCGTTCGGCTTCCAATTTTCCAGAAGTTTCAAAACTTCAGGGACGTCTTTAGGAAATCCGTCCTGTGGTGTTCCGTTGGGCTTCTTGAGATAGTCGTTAGACAACTCCTTCATCAGGTCACCAAAACGCTCTTTGTCAGTCCGCTTAAGGATTGACATGGCGATGCTACGATCCTTGATCATCTTTTTCTTGACTCGTCGAACGTCATCTTCTTGTTCCTTTGTCATAACTGCGGTTCCTGTAGCCGATGCTGCGGTGAATTTGCTCTTCGCAGATTCTACAGCTGACTTGAGCTCCTTTTCTTTCGCCGGAGTCCACAGAAATGGGCCTCCACGGCGTTCGTAAGCCTTGATGGCTCGAAGCATAGTCTTCACGAAAGCTTCATTTGATTTGCTTCCCTTTTGTCTCATCTTGAAGATCTGCTCGAGCGCGTCATCAAGCGCGAGCTCTGCGGGCGCAATTCCTTCTTCATATCCAGAGACGATGTCGTCAATGGTGCTCATGGGCCAAACCAGATCTTTATTCTTGCTGGCGGCCAGATGGCCATCAGTCGACTTGATCTTGTTTCGCATCGTCGTAGTTACGTTGCTCATGATTAGCTGAAACATAGCGACAGTGTTAGCCCGATAGGCGTCCTTCCGATCTTCATATTTGTCCATCAACCGATCGTACGCCTTCACTTTTCTGGCGTCAGCCTCTTCTGCAGCCGTCAATGGATCAGGCTCCTTTATCTCGGGCTCCGCGTTTTCTTCCAGAACGAAACCCACATCACCTCCGTCCGTCCACCTGATGATTGCTTCGTCAGTCAAGCTTGTCAGGAAGTCTTCCAGGTCTTGCTCTGTTCCATCTTCCTCGGGCGCCTTCAATTGTTTGAGCCCCTTTACCGTAGTCGATCTGTATCCCATAGAGCTCATGGCGATATCTGATCTTTCTTCTACTTCCTTTTCCTTTTTAGTTTCCCACTTTCTTCAAGTTCTGTGGGATTCTCTTAATTGTTTGTGTTGCCGTCTTTACTGTGACGAACTTCCTTCCTAACGATTCGATTCTTCCAATCGTCTCCTGCCCTTTCTTAGGCTTCTTTATCAATACGATATCTTGCACATGAAGTAGTGACAGCCATCACTACTTCCTCCAAGCATTGTTTCGATGTCAGGGGGTTATCTTCAGTTCTTTGAAGGAGATTGGATTTTGTATTTCCGAAAGTATTGAACGAAGGCTCACTCTGAAGGTTAAAAATCAAGGAGCGAACTTGGTGTTCATTGCTCTTGGAAATATAGCTATTCATTTTTAAAGTGTCGTCTCAAGCAAGGCGTCAACAAGACCATTTTCGGAAGGACACATATCATCCATTGAAGTGATGATGATGCCGCTGATGGATGTTGAGCCACTTGGACGAAGGAGCGTGTTAGATATTATATGCGGTATAATATTTGACTGAGGTTTTTGAGATTCCAGATTCCTTGGTGAAAGTGAATTGACGCGATGACGAACCAATAACGTAGTGAAAAGAATTGTTCATTCTTTTCAGGCCCATCGCGTAAAAAACGTACTGGCGCGCCTGCCAGGACATTCCTTTGCGAGCTGGTCAAGCCTCCTTCAAATCGAACGGGTCGTGTTGGAAACATGGTGGTGCCACCCGCAATGATCGGTCTATCCGCGAACACTCCAACATTTAACCGCGAATTGAAAAATTCGCTGCTATTTAACCGCGAATTTAAAAATTCGCGGCTATTTAACCGCAAATTGCCTTCATTCGCCGTTGTGATAACCGCGAATTGAAAAAGCGCCGTTGTGTTAACCGCGAATTGATATTCTAAAAATTCAGCAACAAAACCAAACAAATCCTTTAATGGTGTTTGTGGAGCCTGAGACGCCCTGGAAGACCAGCAGGGCGAAACAAATCATCCAGGAACTACTGGGGATCTGTCGCGCTATAGAGAAGCCTTAGGTGATGAAGGAAACAAGTAGATGATGAAGGGAACAACATGATTCTAAAAGTCATCTTGAAAGTGATTTGCGAAATGGGCGAGGAGTCTACCAGGTACGAAGGGAGATCGGAAAAGTGGGATCCCAAGAAGCTTGCTACCAGGCTTAGAAGTTACAAAAGGCGAACAATATCTTGGAGCATAAGATGGGACAAAAAATCAGCAGGGCAAAAGACATTCTATGGGATCTCTTGCACACCGCTCCTGGAGTCCCCCATCCCACTCGATGGGGAAAAGTTGACTACAGAAGAAGGTGTGTGACATGAGCGGCGAGAAAAATAGGAAGTCGAACAATGTGGTTCCGAATATTTTGCTGATAGACTGAGAGCGCTGCAGAAGCTAGAAAACCAGAAGATCAGCAGAGTCGTCGAGGACCACTAGGCTCATGTCAAACAGTTCGTCGACAACCATTCAGTAACATGCTTTCAAAGCTACTACAAAACATCCATTGACAATGATCGGATGCCCAGAAGCTTCTGCGTCAAGCCATGGACGAGAATGGAAAAGGTAAGCCTCCTGTAAGATAACAAGATCTATGCCATTCTTAACGAAAACAGTATTGCGAGGAGTTTTCTTTGAATGTTTTCAGGGAATGCAACTACCAGGAGATTAGAACAGGAAAGTACTTGCACTCTCTCAAAGTCAAGGGGAAGAATCATAGATCTATAACGTAGTAATGATGCTATAGAAGACTATTTTTACTACACTTGCATTTTCACTATTGGAACAGCTGCTTTTCCTCTCTCTAGAGGCTCTCAAGAGGACAACTTTCCCAATCCAAACATAGGAAGAAACCCTGTGATTGAGGAACAAACCATTCTATTGCATGGTATCGTTGTATGGAGGAAGAAATGAGAGTGATTCTACATCACGCAATTCGCGGTTGAATTAACCGCGAATTTAGAATTCGCTACTAAATAACCGCAAATTGAAAAATTCGCTGTTAAATTTACCGCGATTTTTGAATTCGCTGTTAAATTTACCGCGATTTTTTCAACTCGCGGTTAATAAACCGCGAATTATAGTTGAAAGAATTTCTTCATCCGTAACGCCCGCTTCGCGCGGGCGGTTCGGTTTCATGATCTGGTTGCCTCCGTGACACATACTGGCTGGCGATCGAAGAAATATTCGGCTGGCGCGTATTGACATTTTTACGTGATGGGCCTGTAAACCATCTAGATTGATTGTTGTTGCAACTTTGATTGAGTGCAGAATAGTTGATACTATAGTTATGGAACTGAAGTAGATAGTCATCAGTGCATGTAGACCTGATTGGTTGCATGGACAATGCAGAGTTAATAACTCGCATCTGAATGATTATTTTGAAGATAGTCGTCCTATTTTCTATTTCTAACATTATTGAATCCAGAACAGGTCCAGGAACTTGTGGCGCTGCCTGCTCTACGCAAGCGATGGCACGAGCGGCAGACAATTACACCAGAGGCAGAGCTGGAGACCGATTGGACCAGTCTGGCTCGCGCCATG